TACATTATTCTGAAAAGTCGTAGCGTATCACGTAGAAATGATGTACATTGGAATTTGGGGTAAATCAGATATTTCTCATTTTTCAGTTTTTTGCTTACAAAACAAAGATTTTTAAGTCTTTACAGATTTTTTTACTGATATAAAGATAAATAACTATTAATAACAAGTTTGCATTTTAAGTTTTTACTTTTTCGCTGTTAAATTTGGACTGCTTCGATTCGCCTCGATCTATCCTAATTGAATCTTCGTATTCCAGAATCCTACAGTTAAATGAAGCACGTAGCAGTTTATTTGCCAATTTCACGCGAAAAATCTCTTCGAATATCCGCGAACAGAAATTGCACAATTTTATGCTTGTAGAGACAATCCAGCTTCAACGACGAGCGTTACTCTTCCAAAGGCTCGTTCGAGTGGGTTGATTCATCCGTTACGACTTCCATGTATTCACCTCGAGAGATATCAATCCGATTCGGTAGTCGATATCATTCCGCCCGGATATAATGGAGAAACTTTCCAGGACGCGTGTACGATCCGATGACAGGGCGCTACGCGAATAGCAAATCGGACAAAGGGGGCGATAAACTTTTGCCTAGAGAGAAAAGAGGGAAATTGCTGGAAGGAGGCATCGGGGGTCGCTCTTATATTTATTGTTCTGCAAGGGTGGAGGATCGGTAGTATCTCTCAGTTTCTCCCAAAAATGAGATCGACGGACAGATGAACTGATTCATTCGTGCACCTACAACGCGAAGTTTCGTGGAAGTAATTTAGATGTACATTCCAGATATGTTTCACATTGTATGTATACTATATAATTATGAGTAGTGAACCTGTTAAATATAATGTCAATACTATTGACAGTAATGTTGTCATAATGAAAGTAAGGTAATAAAATTCCAGGTATATCTGTATAAGACAGTATTATTATGTTCAAAATAAATTTAGTTAAAGTTGTAGTTAGGTTTATATATTTTTCTTAGATTCAGTGGTATAATAGGTTTAATTTTAATTGAATGATTAATGAATAAAATAACACGTTTTCACTCGTATTTTGTTTAATAAGAGAGACTATAAAATATATTTATATATTTTAATTCTGTTATATAAAGATGAATATAAAATTGGAAAGAGATAATAATTATTTATGTTAAGTAGTTTGTGAATAGAGGCCAATGTATACGAAACGTTTAAGATTTACAGTTAAAAAATTCTCTACTAGTATAAAAAGTGTCTGCTACTATCATTTATTATCTTCTATCATGAGTTATGTTTAAAATATTTGTATTTTAACGTTTTAAATTCGAAAGATGACTTACAGTCATCACTTGATTTGATAGATGTAAAATTATAAAGTCTTATATATAATATGAATCTTTGTATAATGCATCGATATATGAAATATTGAAATAATAGCTTTGTTTCTTACTTTACGTATATTTTCTCATTAATTAATTTTTTAAAAAAATCGTGTATATTCCATCGGAAAATGTTAAATATTTATAGTGAAAATCTTTCGAATGCAAAGGATTAATATTTTTTAACATTAATTTCCTAACTTTATTCATATTTAATGCCACTTTTTATTGATATATTTTTTTGTGTCTCAAATACTACAATATTTGTAGTAATTTATCATTAGAACTAACGAGGTATTTATTGGGATTGATATGTAATCCTTATAAAGATTGTAACAATAATTATTTAAAATCATTTTGGATATTGAATACTTCGAAAATATCAATAATTGCAAAATAAGAAAACTACTTTTCTATTTTAGAGTTAATACTAGGTTTATGAAATGCGTCAATTTGACGCATATTGAATTTTATAAAAATGATTTAGTAAACGTTCACGTCGAATGTTAATTGATGTAATTACTTAAATATGCAGCCTAATGCTCTTTTTTAAACTTTTAATTTCCAAGATTTTAATTAAGGAACAGAAACCTTTCCAGGAACAATAGAACAAATTGTACAATAAACGTCCGTAGACCTAGTGTTAACCCTTTGCCCTATGCTTTTTTCCCAATTGTGTTCAACAGAGATACTTTAATGTTTATAGTTCATTATAAAAAAAGGAAAATTCCACACTTATTCTATATCTACGTTTACTCAGAAGCATTTTACAATTAATAATAGAAAAATAATAATCAATTAAAACTTGGAAGAATTAAGTGATATTTACATTTGCTAAATTCTATTTGAAATCTTCACCATGAGTCTGACACAATATTGAAAGCAAGGTATTGTAAACGTTCTTTTTATATAGATATATAACTTTTTACCGTAAAATATAGAGACTTCGACTAGCTCTATAAAAGCACAACCCCAAAACCCATAAGTGTATTAAAAGTAAACTATTGTTGCGAAGAAAAAATCTAGGACTAAATTTATAATTTCCAAAATTATTATGTTAAGGTTGTTGTTAGTAGTTTTACTTGCACCTGTATATATATAACTGTAGTATTTATGCAAATAAAAACTTTCAAAAATATTGTAATGCAAGGGATTAATCAGACACGTGGAATTCACATCCCGAATAAAAACAGCCTGTTATCACTGCATCATAAGCAGTGCTTGCTCCATCTTGGTGTCCCTGAAGGAAACGGATGATAAGGTAGCTCGGGGCTGACATTTCCCGCAGGAGGGAAAGCGTTTTCCTCTAACGGTAAAAAAGTCAAAACGAATGAAAATCGAATTACAACCGCGGGTCTGGCAACTGTCCAGTCTGAAACTCTTCTATTTGACGCTGGAAGCGCGAGATTTATCTCTAGTCCGCTCTACTTTGCCCCTGTTTCAAAAATGTTGAATACAGTCTAATTTATTCTCGTGACAAAACATTACTCATACAAAACGCCGGAATAATTCATGATATTTTTCGTGCTATTAACATACTTTGTCAGCATAATTATAATCGCAACAGTTGACAAGACGGACGAGCGAAGTCTAGAACTTGCGTGTTGCAACGAGTCATTAAAATTGTAATGCAACCGAGACGACAGCGAAGAACTAGTTGTTTAAATTTTGGCAACATCTTTATTGGCTTCTTATCCATTTACTTGACACGTATTATTAGCTATGTACATTAGAAAAACCTCATTTTCATTTAATTACATAGGGTTTTAATGTCGTATGAGGCACGGAATTATTATTTCTTGCTTAATTTGTACAATATTTCTGACATTATGGAACTAATTTAAAAATTTTGTTCAATTGTAGTGCTTTCTGAAAATATACTTTCTTAATTTTACAACATCGTTAGTTACAGTTTATTAATTCAGACAATAAATGTTATAATTATTACTATTTAAATATACCAGAAGACAGCTCACAATATCATTAAGAGTAAAAGAATTCAGTTTTCTTATGATACTCATAATACTACTTTATAATACTAACAACGACAACAATACTTTCTCCAATTTTAATCACATCGAAATGAAAGTTAGAGAAATAACGCCTCTTTGAATCCAAAACTCATCAAGCCAACGTCCACAAACCACAACATAATTCACAGTATCATTACAGTCCTTATTGTAAACTCTGAAATTTCTATGCTTTATTAACCCTTAAGTAGACGGGTGAAACTTTTTAACGTTAATGCTCGGGTACGGTGTTCACGACAACCCATCATAAATAAATATTTGTAGACCTAAGAAATGAAAAATTTTTGCCTCGATAATCGATGTAATCTATCATTGCTGGCACGTGATCGTTTGTCTTAACCCTTTCATCCCGCATGGTACACATAAGTATTACAAACATTTTAAATTAAAGGAAAGCTAGAAAATGCCTTAAACATAAACGAAAATTGTACCACACAAGGATCTTTGCTTGTGGCTGACAGCTGAGCACTAATCAACTGTTCGTACATATGTTTTGGTTGATTAATATGCAGCCTTAGGTTTTTTTCACAAAATTCATATTTAAAAAATACATATTCAGGAACGAAAGGGTTCAGGAAAGCTATAGAAATTTTAGACATTTCTTGGTTGATTTTTGAGTAGGTTTGAAGGAATTTTCCTTATAAAACTTACATTGTTGATTGGCTCGTTTGATGGTAGTTTTATAAAGGAAAATTATAGAATGCGAACTCTTAACTGTAGTGCTAACAAATTTATAAAATGTTTGAATTAAAATCTGATCTATCATATTTGGGTGTTTTGTGTAAAACTTGGATGACATGTTGGACAGGTCTGACTTACACAGATGTCTCGATGACGAATCACGATGACGAACGGTGTCTTATCTAACAACACGTTCCGCAAACCTTGTGTTAAGGATCAATTGTTACAATTTCAATTAGTTTCTATTTCCAAGAAATGAAGAGGTCTCCATGAAACCGTTAACCGAATACGAAGATGCAAAGAAGATCAGCAAATCTCTTCAATCTCTTCAATCTCATCTCTCGTGTACAAATATGAATTACAGGGAGAAATATAAATTAATTTAATTTGTCAAATATCAGGTGTGATTTGAAGTAGTTGATCTGTTCAGAAATAAGTGACAGGTAAAGACAAATGAGATATTAAGAATGATTTTTTGATTCATTCGTGTAGACTCATATTATAACATTTTGTCTATTCACTCTTTGGCTTGAATTGCAGCTGAATCAGATTTTAAAGTGTTTAAATATTCTCATGCTGCTGTAACAATAAGTTAAAACAATAACCTTTACCGTGTTCGGTAATATTTATGCATTGCTTCAATTTCAATCAGTTTCCATTTCCGGGAACTGAAAAGATCGTTCACGAAACTGTTAACTCAAGCGCGGGAATGCAAAGGATCAGCAAATCTCTTCAGGATGAAAAATTCAACGCGTGTACTGTCGAAAAGTCGCGCAAACGCGGGAGTTGTCCTCGGGTGGCGTTGAAATGCAGGACGTGCCCACCTATCGTGGCCGTTCCGTCGGTATATCGAGCATATCGCCCACGTTTCTCGTATTATGCACAGGTGCATTCTCCCTGTCCGGCGACGGAGACGTGGAAAAACGCGCCCACGTCCACCAAGGAACGATCAACGCCTTCCTTCGTCCACCACCGACGCGCACGGAACGTCAGGAATGCGCAAACCTGACCGTAGGCAGTTCCGAATAAAAGATAGTAATGTTGCCGCACCGATGTTTACTAATCGGTGTCGCCTAACTGTGAGGCTAGGATGTATTCTGCGGATATCAATCGCCGCCGCCAAGGAAATTGATGACCACTTCCTTCGGGACTAGATAAATGCCGGAAGAGCGCTGCGCGTGTTGGTTACGTAGCGCGTAACACTCACCCAGATTCGCTCGTTATATAATTAATGCATTGTTGAAACGTGGAAACTAGTGAACTCGAGAAACGTGTCGGTCTATTCTTAATGTTTGGCGTGCATCAATGACAGGTAGTGTGGACGTTTATTGATAGTTCATTGACAGGATTGGCTAACGTCTTTTTTACGGTGATTAAATAGACGTTTATGAGATTTTGAAGTGGGATTATTGTGATAAGTTGGTAATTGGTTTTGAAGATTTTTTCCTATATGGATGACAGGTGTTGGAGTATTTGATTGTTTTGAGTGCACTGAGACACGGGAGAAATATAAATTAAGGAGAGTTGTTTTGTTTGAGAGGGTAAGTTGTTATTGATATTTGTGAAAAGTGGGAGAAGTAGATTTAGTATTTTGAGATTTTCAATTCGGCTAATTCCTTGCCTTATGATTTATTTCTCAATTATAATCGATACACCTAGTTTGTAATTAATAATTTATTGAAAAAGTACAACAATTCTTGGCATATTCTATGTCTATATTTACTCTGAAGCATAATAGTTGATAACAGAAGAATAATATTCAATTTGAATTCACAAAACCTGAGTAATATTTATGTTTCTTAAATTCTATTAAAAATTTTTACCGCGAGTCTGACACCTTATTAAAAAGCAATGACTTCATGTATGAATACTATGTATAGATTATACAAATTTGTTGATTGTTGTATGTAATTGGTATAATACAACCTCTTGTACCATTTAATCATTCATATTTATGTATCCATGTCATCGACAAGTTTTTACGTGTACAAACTGTTGTCAAGTATTGTTTTTTACGTAATTAATATTATCATTAAATTAAAATACGAATGTAAAAATGATGCAACATCTCGAAGAAAATATTTGAAGTTACTGACAAAGAGTATATTTTTAAGATGGCGGCTTATGATTCAAACGCAACAGTCATCCCTACAAATTACTCACACAATTATTTTTAAATATTAAATACACTATTATTATAATTAATTTTAAAGCTAAGTTATATTGAATATAATTAATAATGATAATTAAATTCTATCACATCATTTAAAATAATCTTTTATTATTTTTGTTCCGTTATCGAAATTTTAATGTATGCTTTGAAGAGTTAGCTCTTAAGCTTCTTCGAATAAAAATATCCATTCCTATTTATAAATTTTATGAGTCCAATATTAATTTTAATCAAAAGATCTATTTAAAAGTCGTAGACGTTCATAAATTTTTATGAATCACAAAAAGCATTAATAAGTTCACGTTACAACGATTTTATACCGTTTTATTTTTGTAAATATCGAATATTTTATTACTTTTGCATGAAGTAAGTACATTGTTAAAATTGCGATGTTAGCACATTAAAAATTGACTATGTGGTGTCTAAAAATGCCCGCAAGCTCATTGCCACAAGAACTGACACCTTTACAGCGACGTAAATATCTGACTAAAGTTATAACAAAAAAAGTGATCTCATCGATGCGTTCATAGATTTCGTGGTAAGTTCCTCTGTCAGCTGTGTATCAGCGCAGTTACTCAACAAGCCACAGTAAAAGTCAAAACCAAATATATCTGCACTCCTTATAAAGGTGGCGTTCATGCAATATTTATCTAGCATCTAAGATCAAGGTAATGATACATCTGTAATACCAATGATAATAACACAGCATCATTTATTAATGAAGCTATCGGAGAGAAAAAAACTGCTACAGAATTTTTATAAATATTATCGAACATGGCACAGGTTGTTATTTTAACTTATTGTTACAGCAAACTGACAGCATTTAAACATTTTAAAACTAAATTTAGCTACAATTAAAGCTAAAGAGTGAATTTATAAAATATTATAATATGTGTCTACACGAATTAATTAAAAAATCATTTTTAATATCTCATCTGTATTCATCTTTCACTTATTTTTTAACAGAGCAACTATTTTTAATTACATCCCACATTTTACAAATCAAATAAATTTACATCTTCTTCTGTAATTTATATTTGTATGCATTTCGTACTTTCACACCAATTTGCATTTTACGCATCACATGTGTAAATGGTACTTTCAAATGTGTAAGGATCTGCAAAGGTTTTAAGGTGTACACATACTTCTGACTCTCCATTCTAAATTTCTAAAAATAAAGAAAAGGGGGAAAGAATATTTAGAGGAAAGTGATCCCGCTTCCGTTTTCCTCGTGAAGAATTTTTAAGTGACGTATCGCTGGATTAATAGGAAAGGCGCCGCGCGTAGAGTAAACCGCGTTACACGATTGCGTACTATGAAACACGCAAGTTCTGAATGGAGACTGGCATGACCAAATTTGGTGCGGTCTCGATTCCCGTGCACGGCGCTCACTGTATTTCGATGCTTTTTTCGAAGAACAGCTTCGTCGGTGATCCCGAGCACTGTTATCCGAAGATTTATGCTTCTTTCGCGAGTTCGACTTTTCTTTTCGAGAGCGACCGTGAAACAGTTTGAAAATGGTCCAATTAGTTCTCTTACTGCCTGTAAAGCGTCAAGTTTTGGCTGAAACGAGCAGTTGTGTCGCGAACTACGTTCATTTATGTATTTTTTTTCCTTCTTATTTTTAGAGGGAAGTCTGTTTATTTGGATTAGTTATTTGCACGGCGCCAGGGGTGTACGCGACGTGCCGGGCGCCACGTGAAATTGTTATCGATTATTCAGGTGGCGAAAGTTTTTGGATTTGGGAGGAGAATGAATTGGAGATACGATTTTTAGTCGTCATTTGATGTTAACTAGGTGCACGTCATTTAGGATTTATTTTACAGATGTGTGTATAATAAACGTTAAGTAAATGAATTATCGCAAATTGATGTGTAAATTTTAAGTGATTCATTCTAAATTGAAACTTTGATTAAAATATAAGAAAAGTTCTTTTGCTTTAATATTATTTAAAATTGAAGATGTTAATGCTCTTAGTGTAAGTGTACCCGAACAATTATAAATGTTCAGAAGCTAAAACAGAAATGAATAGAAGATTTATAATTGAAAATGCTTAATCATTTTTGTATAATGAATTAAACGTATATCCACAATTATCCAATTACTTAATTATTTTTTAAATAGTCGACTGTAAATATTTACGTAAATTAATATTACTTTAAGGTGGTTTATAAGAACGAGAATTCAATGTATATCTTTCTACATCATATGAAAATTAAATTAAAATCTGTATAAAATTTCATAAAAATTTGTATTATTATGTCAGTATAATTTTCGAATATTTATACACAGTGAATACGTATTCACAGATAAAAACACATTTTACAATACCTGTCTGCAACAAAACAAATAAAATGACAAAACGATCACCACAAAACCAAACATTCAAATTTGAACGATTCCAAATATTCCGCACCCAATATTCCAAACCCTTAAAATCGCTCGAACTGCCAACCCAAAAATAAAAATAATTCAGCCTTAGCACGATAAATCACAAATAGAAACGTCGAGCTTGCCAGACGTCGGGGCGCTCGAGGCGCCTTACTTTTTTCGCGGCTAGCTCCGTTACTGACCTTGAACGAGAGGAACGCTCGAAACTGAAACGGCGGAGTCGCAAGAGTGTTGTCGGACGTGTGGTTGTGGCCGAAGTGACAAATTGATTTTGTGCAACAAGGAACGAGCCCTTTTTCTATCTATGGATATTTTTCGCGGTGAGTAGAAACATTCTGCCGTCCGATAAGGTCACAGGGCCGCCGGTTTAGTGACGATGCCGCCGGTTCCTATTGATTTTCCGTTGATATGCTACGGATGGACGTGCTGCCCTCGTTTAGACATTTCCGATCGTTCCTGCATGTTTTCTGCCCGATAAAATGCATCCAACACGACCGTTTCGTCGTGGCATCGCCACGAAACGCCTTGCCCTAACGTGCGTAACCGTGTACGTACCAGGTCCAGCGCGGATTACGGGCCGAGCTAACCTCAAAATCGAGGGGTTGGACCACCCAACGGGTGTCTCCCGAAATAGAGATGATTCATAACACGGCAGCAATTGACAGGTCTCCGGTTTCGTCCGTGTTCCCTGTGCATCAACTCTTTTGCCGTTTTGTTTTCTTTTCTTTTTCTATTGCATTTTCCTCCGCTCTCCGCAAGATCATCCTCTGGGCTGGTTCGCACGGGAACCCGTGCGCGCCCGCTCCTCGCCCGTTTCCCGTTGCGTTTTGTTAAATGCGCGACGTGCCAAAACAATAGGACCCGAGAAAATCAATAGGCAGGCTGTAAGAGGTTAAATAGGGAAACCCATCTGCTACCATCGTGCATGAAACTTTATTAAGTTTCTGCGATTCGCTGAATTCACTGATCCGTCGAATTTGTGGATATTTCGCGTTGGCTCTGGGTGTTCGTCATGGGAACGGGATAACCTCTAATTCGCGTCGTTTTTAGCTTTTAATCAATTTTCGTGTTTGTTTGATCCTTGTCTCCTCTGATTTGCGAAAGGGCCAGATACTTTATAGGGAATTTTTTTGGACTTTGCTCGGGTTATTAACGTTTCTGTTGATTTATGATTAGTCCCTATGTACCTATTGGTAATGTATTTTAAACATTGCTGTTTTTGTAACTGATAAACTGTTCTGTTGGTTACTTTAGTTTTTAAGTTAGCTTTAGTTAGGGAGACAATAATTAGAAAATAATTTTGTTTTGTATATTGTTCTTTAATTTTTTACTTTTAATTAGCCTCTTAATTTCTTGTCTTTTTTTATTATTTTATTTTGCGCTTATCATTTTACTTTGTGAACTATTTCAAGCGAAATGCATTGTATGTATTTCTGAATAGCATGCGATAAAAATGAAGCGCAAGATGATCTCAATCTTCGATTAATTCCAGTTCTTTGAGGGTTGGCCGAGTGAAATTCATTTCGTTCTTTTACGGTCTTTTGACCACCCAATTGATAGCGATTTTTTACACCGACCGGGGAACTTACTGAACCGTGGTCCGATAAATTATTTGTTCCTGGAGGATTACTAAATTTTATTGTTTTATTGTAAGTTGTTTTAATTATAATATCGAAATTTTTTACAAAATTAGAATTTATTGTCAGTTATAACGAAGTTTTCTAATGAAATTTAATTTGAGAATGTTTATTAATGAATACGAAATAATCATTTGCATTGATAGCAAATCAGATTAACGTGTTATGATATAATAATGATGATGTAATAATGAAAACTGTGTATTTTTAAACTATAGTTTGTTTTATAATATAATTAAATTTTCACTTTCAAGATATCGTCTTTAAACAATTTAGGTTAGTTTAGATTTTTTAAAAAATTACATTAAAATTTCATTATTACATTTTGGCCATTAATATTTTT